GGTTATTAAATCAGGATTATAGATTAAAGACCAAATCAGGGTTATAGACTAAAGATTAAATCAGGGTTATAATTAAAGATTAAATCAGGGTTATAATTAAAGATTAAAGCACAGTTATAGACTAAAGATGAAATCACGGTTATAGATTAAAATAAAAGCCACAAGATCTTTCTTTTTTGCAAAAGTTTATTCTACTTTATTTTAATTTATTGGACCTTTCAGTCCCAGCACCCATGCTTCGCAGCCGCTTCTCATCCTCCACTTCCCAATCGCACAAGGCACTTTGGACATGCTCAGGAACACACCAGCTCGGCCTGGACAGGGGCACAATGCCAGCCAGCCTAGCCGGTGGGGTGGGGTGGGCTGGCCTGGGGCTCAGTCCCCCGCAAAGCCGCGTCCCTCTGAGGCTAGGCCCTGCTCTGATCCACCATTTTGAGGAGCCGGTCTCCATAAAAGCGAAACAGCCTCCAGCCATCTTGGAGCGTGAGGTTCTCGCCGCCGCGCCTCACCAGGTAAGCCATATTTTCGGGCTTCAGGTAAGAAACATGCATGTGAAGCTCCGAGCAGCCTTGTTGCCAGGCGGCCTGGAATATGGGGAGGGGGGGGCGAAAAAGCAATTTGCAAAGGGTCAGCGCTGCACCCCCTGCCCCACCCCCACTTGGTTTGTCCCATCTTGGACATCGCGGTAGAACCAGGAGACTGGGAGTTCTAGTCCCACCTTAGGCACGAAAGCCAGCTGGGTGACTTTGGGCCAATCACCAGGAGAACGGGAGTTCTAGTCCCGCCTTAGGCACGAAAGCCAGCTGGGTGACTTTGGGCCAATCACCTGGAGGATGGGAGTTCTAGTCCCGCCTTAGGCACGAAAGCCAGCTGGGTGACTTTGGGCCAATCACCAGGAGAACGGGAGTTCTAGTCCCGCCTTAGGCACGAAAGCCAGCTGGGTGACTTTGGGCCAATCACCAGGAGAATGGGAGTTCTAGTCCCGCCTTAGGCACGAAAGCCAGCTGGGTGACTTTGGGCCAATCACCAGGAGAGCGGGAGTTCTAGTCCCGCCTTCGGGGCCTCACCTTGGCTGCCTCCTTCAACAGGGAGTTCCCAATCCGCAGTCCTGGAAGGGAGAGAGTTGTGTGTGAGCTCAGACCCTGGGAGTTATTCAGATGAGGAGGTCGTGTGAACGCTGCCCAGTGTGGCTCCCTTGGCGAACCAGGGTCAGGCCTGCTGCTGCGGCTGGGCAGGGAAGGGGAGCTCAGCCGACCAGGGGTGGTTTTGCAGCCTCACCTCTGAATTCTGGCATGACGTAAAAATTGTCTATGTAGAGATTCCTTCCTTTCCAGCTGCTGTAGGTGTAGGAGGATAGGACATATCCCGCCAGGCTGTGACCTGTAGGGAGAGGAAGGAAGGAAGGAAGGAAGGAAGGAAGGAAGGAAGGAAGGAAGGAAGGAAGGAAAGAAAGATGGAAAGAAAGAAAGGAGGAAAGAAGGAGAAAGAAAGAAAGAAAGAAAGAAAGAAAGAAAGAAAGAAAGAGGAAGAAAGAAAAGAATGAAGGAAGAAAAAAGAAAGAGGAAAGGAAGGGAGGGAGGAAGAAAAGGATGGAAGGAAAGAATGAAAGATGGAAAGAAAGGGAAAGTGAGAATGAAAGAAGAAAGAAAGAAAGAAAGAAAAAGACAGCAAGAGAAAGAAAGGAAGGAAGGAAGGAAGGAAGGAAAAGGAAGGAAGGAAGAGAAGGAGGGATGGAGGGGGGGATTCAGTTGAGGGACCCCTTTCCATCCTCTGGCTTGTGCCCCTCCCTGCTCCTCTGCCCAAGAGCGCCAGGGGTGGAAATCCCCCCCCCGGGGGTCACCCGGGCCCCCCCAAAGAGGGCCAAGGGGGCAGCTGAGTCGGGCAGCCATGGCCCCCGACTTTTCCCCCTTTCCCCCAAGGCCCCCCTCCAGTCCTCCCCTCTCCCCCTGGCCCTGTCAGCCCCCCCCTCCCCAACGAGAGGAGGCTCCGTCGGGGTTCACTTCACAGACCTTCGGGGTTCTTCCGGCGCTCCGGGGGGATCTCAGCCACGAAACACTCAAATTTTGGACGGGGCCCGAATCCGGCTTTTTCCAGCTCTGGAGAAAAGAGGGGAAGGAAAAGGGTCTTTTTGGGGGAGGGGGGGAAAGGCCGACTTTTGCCAGCTGGAAAAGGCAGAGCTATGGGCGGGGGGCAGAGATTTGGGGGGGACCGTTTGCCCCCTTCCTCTCCTCCGGCCTTTTGACATCACCCGAGTTGTGTTTGCAATGAAATTTGTTATTTTGGGGTGGTTTAATTCACATTTTTAAAATGTTCTTTTTAATTCACGTTTTTAATGTTCTTTTAATACACATTTTTAATGTTCTTTTAATCCACTTTTTAATGTTCTTTTCATTCACATTTTTAAAATGTTCTTTTAATTCACTTTTTAATGTTCTTAATCCACATTTTTAATTTTTTTAATCCACATTTTAAAAATGTTTTAATCCACATTTTAATGTTCTTTTAATCCACATTTTAATGTTCTTTTAGTCCACATCTTTAATGTTCTTTTAATCCACATTTTAATGTTCTTTTCATTCACCTTTCTCTCTGCCTGCTTACTCTCTTGTAATCCCTTCCTCTGCAATCTCTCCATCCTAGGGAATGGGAGAGGGCATGGTTGAATGGGGAATTCTGGATAAAGAATTAACAGAGTTGGAAGAGACCTTGTAGATCATCTAGTCCAACCCCACCCACCCCCACCCAAGCTGGACACCATTTCTAACAAATTGGGAGTCGAAGTGGACGAGTAAAGATGAATTTTGCACATGTGCAGAAACCCTTTGTCTTCCTTATCTCATACCTTGGACGTTGGTGGAAAGGCTTTCCAGAGGGATGTCGTAAATGATGGCAATGTCCTGTGGAGAGACGAGAAAAGAAAAAAAAAAAGAAACGTCCCGGATTTATGACGGGCTGTCAGATCTCGAGGAGGGGGGGTTGTGAGTCGCTACGAGGAAAAATCACAGAAGTGATTTTTTTGGCTCTTAAGAGATCCAAGTTTCCTCTCCAATTGCCGTAAATGAAGGGTGTTCAAGAATACAGGGAGTCCTCGCCTTACGATAGTTTGTTTAGTGACCATTGTTGAAAGGACACTGGGGGCGGGGGGGGGAACCCAGACTTACGACCTGTCTTCAAACTAGGGAACCGCTGCAAAATTCGGACGCCGACTCGTAGCGTCCCGGGACCGACAACCTCCCCAGCTGAGCAGCAAAGCCAAGGGAAGAGGCCCCGGGCCCCACGTTGGGCGCAAGACGAGGACCGGGAGTGAAGCAATGGAGAACTCTGAAGCCGTTTCCCTGACCCCCCCCCCCGAGGGGAACAATAAAGCCTGTGGAACTGCTTGCCACTGGACGTGGGAGAAGCTCCAAGGCTTGGAAGGTGTGTTTTTTTTTCTTTGTTCTTTTTAAAGTAAAATAAATGTTTATTAAGTTTTACACGGTTAAAAACAACACAAATACAATATTTCCAGGGTTGTGTCATCAACTTTCCCAGTTTCCACTAACTATATACATACACATCTCTCTCTCCCCCCTCTCCCTCCCTCTCCCTCCCCCTCTCTCCCTCTTCCTCCGCCCTCCCCTTCTCCCTCTCTCCCTCCC